CATTGCCATGGATTTTCCTGCTACCCGAGCCCATCGCTGTGTGCCACCAGCTCCTGAAGACATCTCATAATAAACCTTTAGAATAACTAATAACTAATGATATACAAATGAGTTTTGAAGGTATATTCTGCCACTACGCAGCAACAGAATGCTTCAGAACCCACAAAATAAAGTATTCCAAAGCGGAAAAGTTAAGTACCTACCGGGGATGGTGCCGATGTTGATCTCTGGCTGTCCAAATTGTGCTTTGTCACCAGCATAGATGATATCACACATCATGGCCAGTTCACATCCACCACCGAGGGCATACCTAAGAGGTACGGATAAACTGTAGTAAAGAACATTGATCACAAGGGATCAGTTGAAGCACTATGCCTCTAGTTGATATCTCCAATTTTCAGCTGACACTGCGCGTTTTCAGAACTCATCTCGGATCGGATGTCTTTCAGGAGGAGGTCATTCGAACTAGTCAAAATTTAGTCATACAGACCATAACTTCTTTAGTGGAAAATATTTATCATCCCCTATTGCCCTACCAAATCTTTGTGAGTCAAACTATCGAAAAATGGAAGTCAAATCGTCTGAAATGTGAATCTTTCACACGAATTAATACTCGGAGAAGCAGAGGAGTACTTAAAGTAAGCCGTTAGTTCAGCCTCGGAGACCTCTTTCTTTGAGTTCGATGAGTAACATTTTCTGGATGATTTCATGCCCTCTTAATTGAGAACTTTACAAATGCGCTCACCCATTTACAGCCGCAATGACGGGCTTTGCTGTCTGGCTTACTGCCGTCCACTCTTCAAGGAAACGACCTTGGAACGTTGACGCAAATTCTCGATTAACCATTTCCTTGATATCTGCTCCCGCTATAAGAGAAACAGAATTATCGATTTTTTTATAAGGGATAAAAGGTCAAAAGCCTACTGGTCAAGGTGGACTAACCTGCAAAAGCTTTTTGGCTTCCTGTGACAACAATGGCACCAACTGATTTGTCCTCATCCAGCTCTCGAAGCGATGTGGACAGCTGAATTACTTGGGTTTGATAATCACTAATCACAGCCAGTTCTAAAGCCGTAGGAGTGTTTCCTAGTATTCGATTAAGGTGGTAAAGGTGGCCAATTTTTTGGAAGGGTGCGCCATGCAAATGGCTTCTATCCGGAACCATAGCCTTTTTTATAGGCTCACTTGCACTTTACAGTAACCAATCGGTCTTTTCGCCTTCTCAACCAAATTTTCTCCCATTTCAATCACAGGGATGAAAAACTTGTGGAGCGGCGCGGATCAAAGTCTAGGACCTGATCCACAAACCAAGGATGAGGGTAGAGGCGTCAGCTGTCATGGTGCCATCTCCACTGACTTAAAAAAACATAACCAACATTTCCATGAGCCCATATTCTTGGGTGAAAGTATTCGAGAGCATGGCTCATTCCTTACAGACTGATCAAAATAATGTTCTCCTCCTTTGCTCCTTATATTCCCGAATTACAAATATTCAGATAGTAAATAAAAACCAAACCAAAGAAGAGCAAAAATCAAGGGAAAAATGGACAGCCATTCGGAGTTAGCAGAAAAATTTACTGCAGGTTCAAAAATAGGAAGCTCACTTTAAATGTATGGGTTCATGGGGTAATAGAAACTCATTCAGGTGATATAATCATTTCAATGGTAAAAAAAATCGTACCTCATTCATCAGCTGATTACAAAGGGCATTGAAAGCTTTGGGACGGTTCAACGTGATGAGGGCGACGTTCTTCTTTGCTCCGACTTTTTCAACTTTGATCATTTCAGGAGCTATAACGATTCTGAATTGGAACAAAGTATGACGATAGAAAAAATTATCTTTGGATACCAGATGCCATGGCAGCAGTTTGGATCAAGTTCAACCGGATAGCCCCACAGCGGCCAGCAAAAGTGGACAATCGGAACATGGTGGAACGATCCTGAACAAATCGCACCACATTTTGTCGCTCGATAACGAAGTGAACGTTGTGATAAGGAGTAAGTAGACGGGTGTGGGCAGTGGTTACAAACCCTGCTAAATCTCTCGCTGGGAGGCCCAACTGGCTTGTAGGAAGCCTAGGAGGGTTAGATCTAAAACGAGAGGCAAGAAAGGTAGAGGAACTAGAAAAGGAAGGAAATAAGGTTGATGGTGACTAACGAAATAAGTGAATCAGTAGCAGATGTGCATAAATGGCGATCAATAGAGCTCAGCAGTTACAACGAGAGATCGATTGTGATCATTTGGATCAAACTTCACGTAGAAGGGGTGGTCCTGACATGCGCCCGCAAGCTGCACCAAATGACTTTCAGCGAGCCGCGGGAGCCTTATGGAATACTGGAATACCTTCAGGTTTGATTTTGACTAACGAGTAGATGTGTCCAATGGCTGAAGTAAACAATAGCGATACTCTTCTCATAACGAGATGGATATTAGGAATGATGGGGTAAGCAGTTATAGTCAATGCGGCGAAATAACTGACCAAACCGCGAACGATAGCAGCGAGAAAGTTTCCTTCCCAGGGGACGTCTCGCGGACTCTAGAGAACAGTGAACAAAGTTCGCCCGAGTCCGTCAGACTTCCCCGGTAACCACCTAGTCTATGGAAATTGTCATCAATTAGATGGATTAGACAGACAGAGAACCAGTAAAACAAAAAAAATAGTATGACAGTAGCAATTTCTTTCCCATAAACACCCGTAAGAATATGTCGGTAGCTGTCGGTTTTGCTTGGTTATGTCGCCTTCATTCTATTGCATACGCTGTCATTCCCTATCTCCTTCTCATATGATTTTGTACTGTCGAGTATTGCTGCTTGTTCTAGAGCAGGCAGGAGCTATGGAAACGAGCAACAGCATATAGTCAATCGTAATGGACTATTTGACTGTTTTAGTTATGTAGCATAACAGTCAAGGACAAAGGTAGGGAATAGTAGCAAAAGTATGCTTATTCAGGCGTCTGCCCCTAACAATCCTGAAGACCCGCCCCTTTTGCTCAAACATTCTGCCTTTCAACTTATCCAAGACATAGGACTGAGGGAATGAATAGATAAAGGCAGTAGAACAGGAGATCGTGGTTTTCTCAAATTCCGGCACCTAACTTAGTTCATTGTAAATTCCGAACTTAGCCTTACTCGATCGGTAATCGCTTTGTTGAGTTTTCCACACTGTACCCGATCCCATGAAACAAGAGGGGTTGCTAGGGTCTTTTTAAGATTCTAACAATAGTGGTCGGCTACAAAGCTACGTACCCCCTTACTGAGTTTTTGGTGTTGGGGACTTACCGTTAAGTCTCCCAGGGACCATACTTTTAGTAGAAAGCGCGCCCTAATGAGAAGACAGCAGCGCAAGTGCATTTACATTGAAATGCTTCTTTTGTTACAAAGCGTAAGCTTGCTATCCAGCTCCCTCCCGACATGATTGATCATCCAAATATTTTCCCATGGTTGTAGCTACAAGCATGGGATTTTACAGGGTTATATTTTGCACAAATCAGGTGTGATTCAACGATGGCCTTACGGATAATCATCTTTCTTTTATATGAGACGTAATACTGATTCGATCCAGTCCTAGTGGCAACTTCTTCTACCCGTTTTAGAAACAAATTATCCACTAATTAATTTGTCTTTTTGTAATCGTTATGGTTCTAATTTTCTAATGAGACACTATGCAGAAATAATCTTTTCGTATAACGCTTTGTTTTGAAGGTTTATTACTTAAGAAGGAATAGGTGGGTGCAGGAATATTCGTGTGTGGACATTTCAAACACATAGCGCAACTAAAGTGCAAAGGAGGGTACAAATAGCGGGTGAAAAAAAATTGCTGCATTGGGCGGAGGTGGCGACAACCATGTTGTTTTTCTGCAGGTACACAACATTCTAAATTACGGCAACAACTTTACTTGAGCGAAGCAGTGGAAGTTCGGTCGGCGTAGTTTTTGTTTAAGTTTTGGTGGATATAGTGGAGGCTTACTGCTGTAGAGCCCATTCCTTCAACTAAAAACAAGTTACTGTAGTTTTACTCTTGTCTGCTCTCTTATTGTTTTTTATTCGAGTAGGTGCAGCTAGCAGTATCTCAGATTTTGTTTTGTGGCCATTGACCGGGCATCTTTATTTATTCCCCCTCATAGCTTCCATTATCGTTTTGAAACTACAGTCGCTTTTTTTTAGGCATTTGTCTCAGAATTAAATTGAGTATTTATTTAAAGAGAAATTTTCCGGTCCTATTCTGGCATAATCGGACTAAGATCTGATCAAAAGAGTTGAACTCCAGAAGATTAGCTCATAATACAGAATGAGGTAGCGGTTTCATAAAGTCATGAAATCAAAGATCTTCGCTGAGGTGTCTAATTGAACCACACAAATCAAGCAAGGTGGCTTATGGCAGCTTCAATCCTGAGCTCGTAAAGTTTCGATCGAAATTTCTTGCTCCTTCGAGTGGTATTTCGTTTTTTTTCGCTCTTTAGACTACTTCTTTTTCAGGATATGCGTCGATGGAGCTTAAGTAGTCGAATAATAGAGAACTGCGTTGCCAAGACGCTGTCGAGGAATTGTTCCTCGGCAGCAAAGCCAGCTAATATCTACCGTCCTCCTTATTACCGAAAACCACATCAAAACCGTGAACCGCTGAACATATTACAGGAGGAGTTCCCAGTAAGCCTTTAGAAACTCCTTTTTTGTACTTGACACCATCCACTAGCTTTCCCTCGCTGAGTGATGAGAACTATAGAGTGTTTTGAACAAATTCAAATTTGTTATCCCTGTTTTCTACCCGGTGAATTGTGAACCTTAACAATCCGTTTGCTCGGGTCATCTTGCAACGACTCGAAGCATCCCTCTACTGATGAATAATTCATTATCTTGAGCAACGGGATCGAAAGCATTCCTGATAGAGATATTGTCACAGATTCTTCTTATTCAATAACCAATAACCTTCTTTAAAGGTGATACATTTTGTTTAATCTTGAGTCGTGATCGAACACCAACTGGACTTCATTCCACAAGAACCGTCAAATTAAGCTTTGCTTCGTGGTTGTAATTTGATCGATTTTAGAATGCGGGTGATGCCTCTGGAGCAGGATTACGTTTATTTGACTACTATAAAACTGCGGAATACGTTAATCAGTTACCAACAATCAAAGAGAAAATTGATTTTGTAAGTCCATATGAGCGCCCGTGGACTAAACCGGAAAGGAATTGGCGACGGTAAGTAATGCCTGGACAATTCCTGTTTTTTTCAGTCTTTTCAGTGAGATTTTTCAGGGACTGGCACCCAGAACTGATGTCTCCTCGTAAGGCTTGGGCCCTTCCTTTAGTTCCAGCTTATTTTGACTGTTTGAAGTATTACCAGTACATTACTAAAACTCGTCTTGTTGAATCTTCGCTCGACAACTATTACGCTGGTCTTGTTCCTCCAACGGCTAGCTTTGAAGTGAATACTCGCTACATATTTTCTTCATTTTCTTTTTTCAATATCCTTGATGACATCCCTACGCTTTTTATGGAACAGATGTAGGTCGTTATATGGTTGGGATGGAGAGAAGGTTGAAGTGAAATGAACCGTACAAATGGGGGTCTTTCTTGTTTTCTAGGCCTTATATGGTTGATTAATCCCTAAATGCCAAATCAAAAGGGTTGATTTCCCTTTTGATTCATCGGTGGCTTAGAGAATGGGAGGTAACCTTCTAGCTTGCTCATTAATCGTGCTCAATACGCATTAGAGGTAGATATTCTCATTTGACTTATATTTCTGTTACGACTATACCAATGCTGCATCGCAGCCGACAATCAGGTATGGTGGCCTCACTATTTCCACAATCGGTTTGACACATCTAAGAGCGCGGGGTCTGTTCGACTATTTTTGGGTTTCTAGAAAATAATTGAAGCGGATTGGAAGAAGAGAGGATAAAGAATGAGTAGCCGAAGAGTTCTGCTGCTGATTTATTTATTAGTATTTTCGAAAAAAAAGTTATCCTCCTAATATTCTTGCCACTCTGATCAATTCCACTGACAATTTCAGAAAGCTGTGCAAGAAAGTGTACGCACAATCCTCTCATCGGATCGCTTCGGTTCGGAAGATGAGCGCGTTTCAGCGATTCTGGCGGCTCTAGTTGACGAAGCTATTTTCAGCGTTGCACATAATGTACCTCGTCTTGGTGACTACAGGGTGTGTTTTTGAGAATCGTTCTACAGATTTTCATCTGTTCAGTTAGTCCAGGCTTCAGATAGCATACGACGTGCAAAGCGAAACGTTCTGGATTCGATCAGGTTTCATGTTCCTCTATGACAAGCAGGAGATTGGCAGTGACAAGGTGGAGAGGAATGTCCGGAAAGGGTCGAAGTTTATCGGTGATGATAGGTCAGCTTATGAAGTTTTTTTTTTTTCTCAACGACGGTTTTCTTTTACATTTCAAGTGAAGGTGATGATGTGAAAATGTGAGAGAGGTAAGCGCTTTGACAACGAAATAAAAAGTAGGGAAGGCCACGTATATATATATATATATATATATATATATATATATATATATAT